ATTCTATTGATACAAATCTATCGTAAAAAATGTTGTCGGCATTAAATAACCCATTGAGTTTGATATGCCGTAAAACAAAATAATCCAAACTAATCTAAACCAAAGAATACATATTCTATTCATACAAATTTATCGTAAAAATGTTGTCGGCATTAAATAACCCATTGAGGTTGATATGCCGTAAAACAAAATAAACCAAACCAATCTAAACCAAAGAATACATATTCTATTCATACGAATCTATTCTAAAAATGTTGTCGGCATTAAATAACCCATTGAGGTTGATATGCCGTAAAACAAAATAATCCAAACTAATCTAAACCAAAGAATACATATTCTATTCATACAAATTTATCGTATAAATGTTGTCGGCATTAAATAACCCATTGAGGTTGATATGCAGTAAAACAAAATAAACCAAACCAATCTAAACCAAAGAATACATATTCTATTCATACAAATTTATCGTAAAAAAATGTTGTCGGCATTAAATAACCCATTGAGGTTGATATGCCGTAAAAACAAAATAATCCAAACTAATCTAAACCAAAGAATACATATTCTATTCATACAAATCTATCGTAAAAATGTTGTCGGCATTAAATAACCCATTGAGGTTGATATGCCGTAAAACAAAATAATCCAAACTAATCTAAACCAAAGAATACATATTCTATTCATACAAATCTATCGTAAAAAATGTTGTCGGCATTAAATAACCCATTGAGTTTGATATGCCGTAAAACAAAATAATCCAAACTAATCTAAACCAAAGAATACATATTCTATTCATACAAATTTATCGTAAAAATGTTGTCGGCATTAAATAACCCATTGAGGTTGATATGCCGTAAAACAAAATAAACCAAACCAATCTAAACCAAAGAATACATATTCTATTCATACAAATCTATCGTAAAAATGTTGTCGGCATTAAATAACCCATTGAGGTTGATATGCCGTAAAACAAAATAATCCAAACTAATCTAAACCAAAGAATACATATTCTATTCATACAAATCTATCCTAAAAATGTTGTCGGCATTAAATAACCCATTGAGGTTGATATGCCGTAAAACAAAAAAATCCAAACTAATCTAAACCAAAGAATACATATTCTAT